AAAATCAACAGGAATGCAGCAGTTTTTACAGAAACTCACAGATTTGGAAGCCTGAGTGATGCAGATGTGTCAACAGAGTAACTTGGCTGTTTCTCACCAGCCGACAGGCAGCTTTGGGATGCAGACAGCTGTTTCTTGTTCTGTGTCTGTGCTAAGTGGCCACCCTCCATCTCATGAAGCCATGACCAAGTTCGGGAAGTGGGCTGAGGGGCCTTCGAGCAATACAAGTAACTTTGTCACTTCCCATGTATCTGTTCTGAGCCAAGCACTGGGCTGCGTGTCTCATAAACATTGTCTCACTGAGCCTTCCCATAAGCCTCTGAGGCAGGCGCTGTTGGGCCCACTTTATAGATAAGGAAACTGAGACTCGGGAAACTTAAGCCACTTGCCAAATAAAATATAAGTGGTGGGCTGGCCAGAGTGGCTCAGGGATTGAGTGTTGACCTATGAATCAGGAGGTTACGGTTCCATTCCAGTCAGGGCACAGGCCCCGGTTGTGGCTCAATCCCCAGTGTGGGGGTGTGTAGGAGGCAGCCAGTCAATGATTCTCTCTAATCATTGATGTTTCTATTGCTCTCTCCCTCTCCCTTCCCCTCTGAAATCAATATATATATAAAATTTTAAACACAATTGGTAGAACCAGAATGCAAACCAAGGCAGTCTGACTTGGTCCCAGGTTCAGGTCAGCCCCACGAGAGAGGGGGCCTGGCCGTCATTTGCCAACAAGAACGGGCCCGCTCACATGGAAGGCGGACAGAAACACTCGCTGATCCAAGGAGAATGAGTAAAGGACCCACAAGCCACTATCGTGTGGTCACCACGGCTCCTGAGCGTCCCTATGCTTTCCTGTGGTCTTCCTTCCAGTTTGACAGAAATTTCCGGCACAGCGAACCACGGGGATTGTGGGTGGGAGTGGGAAGAGGTGATTCCTTCTGGTTCTGTAAGTTTACAGTGATTGGTTGTAGATTTCAAGAAAATGGCGTAAGTATTCAGCCTATGCATTTCAGTAGGTAAAGGGTGCTAGGAATCACGGTGGCAGTGATTCTGAAATTCTCAGCTGCCTTTCCATCGGAGGATTATGTGATCACACTTTGCATGCACTCTCAAATAGGGTTTGTCTGCGCTGGTTTTGTGTGGCTTTTAGCGTTTGTGTCACGTTCTTTTGTAAGGTAGGATGCTGCTGACCTGAGGATGTGTCCTCTTCCTGTGGCAGCTTTCTGATGGGCTCTTTGTTAATAGCTTGTTCTTCTTGCTCCTCTTTCCCTTTTCCTATTTCCCCTGACTCTTTATTTTGCAGTCTCAAAGTTGAACCCAGCTATTAGCTCCTCGGTGGTCGTCTGCTTCCTTCCTTTGGGGCTGAAGGGCACGATTGATCATCCTAGATGGGTGTAGGCTAGAAAGAAAGGTGGAAGACCTAACATGTAGCTTTATTTCTGTCATGTAATAATTTCCACCATAGCTTCCCAAAAAGCACAACTTCTAACTTCCAGCTACTAATGAGTGTCAAAGAATAACTACTATATTAAATACTAATAAGTGATTGCTATTATGCTTGTTTAATGATCACTTTATAAAGCATTCTAGTTTCATACTCTTAACTTTGTGTTGCAAGGCAGACAAAGCTCAGGTTTTTCTTTCAAAGTTCTGAGAGTGGTCATTTTGGCTTGGACTAGATATTGTGTTCAATTTTAATATGAAAATTGCAAATTATGTGCATAAATAATATGTATAATAATCTTGTCCTACCCGTAAGACATCAGGCCCGGTATCAGTCCTACCCTATCTGGGCACCAAGTGTTGCACTTAATGGAACGTTGGTTCCTTCCGCCTTTGAGCTCTCGCCTCTTTCCTCGAATTTGGGCTGGTTTCTCGGGGCCTCACATTTCCGGTGACTTACCAGCGGAGTGCTGCCTCCTGTCCCAGCGTTTCTCCGGGGTGGCCACCCTGTCAGGTCAGCCTGGGAATGTTTCTTTGACCAGTTTCCCCTCTCCTTCCACTGGTCTGCAATCTCTGCATGATTCTGACGGCGGCGTGGCGGGGCTCTGATTGATCCTTTAAGGAAAACAGTGGCAGTGGCGGGAAGTAAGGGAATGAAAATGAGTCAGCTGCCTGCTGCGTGCGGGGAGTGCTGCCTGGGCGATCGCCCGCCAAGTGAACGAGCCATCCCCTCAGCTCCGTCGCCCTTCGCCGCTTCATCTGCCTTTCGGAGATCAGGGCACAAATGTCACGTAAAGGCACCGGACAAGAATGAGTTCAGAAATTTCAAAACAACAGTAGCCTGTTTCCAGCTGGCTCTGGGGCGGCTACAACCAGAAGCATTTTCCAAACTCCCCAGTCACTGATAGAATCATGATGATAACAGGGTCTGAAACAGAGGCCTCTGGATACTTAGGGGGTGGACACCACTCTTGCATAAAGTAGACTGGCCTATGTTCGTTTTATGTAAGCATATTATTTTAATTTGAGAAATGTTCATTTATTTTTTTAAAAAAAACACAGTACTAAAATATTTATTGATTTCAGAGAGGAAATGACAACACCTTCATAACCACTTACATGGATGATTACTAATGTTTTGTCATATTTACTTCATCTTGATTAAATAATAAAAGAAGTAAAATATTACTGGCAATGCAGTTTCCTGTGCCCCTCGCCCTGTGCACATTCTGCCATCCCCACCCTGGGAACAACCACGGTCAGAATTAAGTTTGTCATCCCAAGTGGCTCACAGCACAGCCATGAAATCACTTTTTGCTAAACTTGTCAGGTGTCAGGTAGGGAAGAGGCCTGTCTGCCCTCCATGCAGGGCCAGCTAGAGGGGGGCCAGGCACTGGATTTCAGCAGGGAGGCTGGGGGCAGGGTAGCTGGCAGATCGGGTTTCAGCCAGCCTGGTTTCTGTGTGTGTGTGTGTGTGTGTGTGTGTGTGTGTGTGTGTGTGTGTGGTGTGTGTGTGTATGTGTGTGTGGTGTGTGTGTGTGTGTGGGGTGTGAGTGTGTGGTGTGTGTGTGTGTGTGTGTGTGTGTGTGGTGTGTGTGTATGTGTGTGTGTGAGTGTGTGTGTGGTGTGTGGGGTGTGTGTGTGTGTGTGTATGTGTGTGTGGTGTGAGTGTGTGTGTGGTGTGTGTGTATGTGTGGTGTGTGTGGGGTGTGTGTGTGTGTGGTGTGTGTGTGTGTGTGTGTGTGGTGTGTATGGTGTGAGTGTGTGTGTGGTGTGTGTGTGTGTGTGTGTGTGTGTGTGTATGTGTGTGTGGTGTGAGTGTGTGTGGGTGTGGTGTGTGTGGTGTGTGTGTGTGTGGTGTGTGTGGGGGGAGGGGAGTGGGGGAATGGACGTGCAGGGGAAGCCAGCTGTGTGCAGTGGCTCTTCCTGTAGAACCTGTTGGTGCCGGTGGGTGAGTAACCAGGTGGAAATGGCTCCCGGCCGCTGCTCGGCTCACATCTGCCCGCGCCCAGAGCCACTCACTCCCAGGACGCTGCACCCACACGGTCCCCCACTAAAGCCGATCTCTGCGGGAGGTCTGCGGGGAGAACTGTGCTCTCCCCCGGTCGGTCGGTCGGAAGCAGGAGGGGCGCTGGGAGGGGTCCCCAGATAAGAGTGGCTGCGTCTGCCAGGCCGTGGGAGGCCGCGGTGTGAAACTGAGTCACGCCTGCTCTGACGAAACTGCTCAGACTCACCCGGCTGCCGTCCGGGAGGGAGGTGGGGAGAGCCCGAGGGCTCCCCTCGCGTTTCTGTCCGTTCTGGGAACTTCGGGATGAAAAGGAATGAAAGCCTCCGGCCCGTGGACATTCTGGGAGATGGGTATGTAGCTCCAGGTCACTGTCACTCCCCGGTGCCAGCGGGCGGCTCCCTGCCGGGACGGCGGTCTCAGTGGAGCTTCTGTCTCCCTGTGCACACTCTGTCTCCGTGTGAACACTCTGTCTCCCTGTGCACACTCTGTCTCCCTGTGCACACTCTGTCTCCGTGTGAACACTCTGTCTCCCTGTGCACATTCTGTCTCCGTGTGAACACTTCTCTCTCCTGTGTGGACGCTGGGCTGCGTGGGGGCAGGACCCTGAGATTGTGCTGTTCTCACAGGAGCTGGCATGTCTGTGAACACTTGGTTCCTGTGCTTCAGGAAACGGTTCTACTGACAGTGCGCTCAGAGAGGGTATTTAGATCCTTACAGTGCTCTCTGAATGTATGCTAAAAACCTAGCCAAAGTCTAACATTGGAATGAAATCTCTAATAATCACGACGAGGGTCGGAGAGAGGAATTCTGGGAAGTCCAAGAGACAAGCCGGCTCCGGCTTCCCCAGGTCTAGCGTGAGGGCCAGCAGCACAGCAGCACTGAGCTCTGAGCTCTGAGCTCTGAGCTCTGAGCTCTGCGATCGCCGGCTGCCTCTACAAATGGCTTTCAACAGCCCGTTGCTACGGGCGTCTCTTCTCCAGAAAAGCAAACAGCTCCGGGCACACTGGAGCGGCAGAGTGGGAATGTGAAGTTACAACCCAGAGCTCCCTCCGGCTCAGACACCACAGGCTCTGAGCCCTCACCCCCGCCCACCCCCTGGCTTCTACCCCTTTTAGGGGACCTTTGTGGTGGAGAAGCACCCTGCGTGGGGCTCTGGGTTACTTTCACTTTGCTTTCCTTTGAGATCTAATCTGAGTTCTTCCTCAACTGCTCAGCCCCTTGGACTGTCTTTCCATTCAGATGTGAATCAGCATCTCTGATCGGAGGCATGCTTACTGGAACCTAGGAGGTTCCTCACCAGCTCTCCTCCTGTGAGTCACAGGGGAAATGGCGGCATGTCCCCCCTGCACAGTTCTATGGTTCCAGGAAGAACTGGTGGGAATTCCTGCCAGAAGGAGGGATAGAACGGGTTCAGGTTGCAGTTGGTTTGTAAAAAGGCTGCATCACATGTTAGTGTGCCTTTTGGGTTATTTTTTTATTAAGCTGTTTTCTAGATGCAGTGAAATTTCACATAAATTAAAGCTGCGTGTGCTGTTGTGTTTTCTTCATTTATTAGCTATTCCAGTGGAAACAGCTGGAAAACCTATATTTCCGGGAGAAAAAATTCGCTGTTGAAGTTCACGACCCCCGGAGGTGAGGGTCCCCGCTTTCCCTCTGCTTGTCCTGGTGGCTTCTGGGTAATGCTGCGAGCACTCACATGCGGTGTACATGGATGTGTGTCTATTCCTCCGGGGTCTGTCCCTGGGGGTGGAGCTGCTGAGCGAAGAGCTGACTCTTTAACCTTTGGAGGAACGGCCGGAGGGTTAGCAGCAGCCACACCATTTTCCATTCACACCAGCAGCGTGTACGGGTCCGCTGTCGCCACATCCTCCCTCGCACTTGTTATTTTCAGCTGAGCTGCTCTCTAACAGCCGTCCTCGTGGTGGGAAGCGGCCTTTTCCTCATGACTGACGTTGGCTGGGCATCTCTTCATGTGCTCATTGGCCGTTTGCATGTCTGTTCAGATCCCTTGCTCGATTTTAAATTGAGTGTGCCTGGTCACTTTAACAGACAGCTGCCAAGTGATCAACATTAATTAAAGTCAGGACCGTGGTTTCTCCAAACTGACACATTTATGGGTATTCGGAGGACACAGGGATAGGGGAAACAGCCCTTAACAAAAAGATGGCCCGAATCCCTACAAATGAACGCTGGTCGCTCCCTCCCTCCCTGTCCCTCCTCCTCCTGCCCTGTCCTCTCAGCAGCCCTCTGGACCAGGTTTGAGTCTGGGCACTCTCAGCAATGTCGTGATGTCCGTCCTCTGATTCTGTCCGAGTCAGACAAGTCCCTCTAATCCTTGATGCTCCTTCCCCCGAGGAAGGTGCTGATCCCCAGGTCTCTGTCTTTAAAACATTCCTCCACTCACTCCCCACGGCTGGTGGTGGTTTTAGCTCAGTGATGTTAGTACAGCTCTAACTTGACTAATCTTTATCTGCCTGGGAGCATGTGCATGCATTTTTAACTCCAAATTTGCAGAGTGATTGCCTAGGTCTGATGGGTTTTGTCAGAAAAGGAGGAGCTCAGAGCCCTGTCCGCATGGAGTGGCGGCAGGAAACGGCGAAGGAGATGTGCTGTTGCGTTGCTCACGGGAAGCTGTTCATGCTGTGCTGGGCCAGGAGCTGGGGATCTGAGCACTTTTCTCCATCTTCAGGATTTCAGTGTCAAGAAGGACCTTTGGGCAAAGCGGCCTCTTTGTGCAAACCTGGTATGCACACTCTTCACTCATCAAGTCCATCTGGGTGATGGCCATCAGTCAGCACCAGTTTTACTTGGACCGGAAGCAAAGCAAAGTAAGTGATGAGATGAGGTTTTGCAGGAATAAGCTCCTGCCCCTCATTTGCTTTCTGCTTAAAAGATGAAAGCACATCGGTTTTTGTTCTTTTAGGGTTGTTTTTTTTATACCTTACTACCAACTGTTTTCATTTTTCTTATATTTAAAAAATGAGCAATATATAACCCAATTCAAAAGTTGTGTGATTTCCCCGGGCTGGATGGCTCAGTTGGGTGGAGCATTGCCCCATACACCAGAAGTCATGGGTTTGATTCCCAGGCAAGGCACATACCTAGTTGGCAGAGTCCATCCCCAGTGTGGCTTGATGGGAGGCAACCGATCAATGTTTCTCTCTCTCTTCCCCTCTCCCCTAAAAATCAATAAAGATAGTCCTAGCTGATTTGGCTCAGTGGATAGAGCGTCAGCATATGGACTAAAGGGTTCCGGGTTCAATTCCAGTCAAGGGTACAAGCCCAGGTTGCAGGCTCAATCCCCATGGGGGGCATGCAGGAGGCAGCTGATCACTGACTCTCTCTCTTCATTGATGTTTCTATCTCTCTCTCCATCTCCCTTCCTCTCTGAAATCAATAAAAATATTTTTTAAACATCAATAAAAATGTATCTTTGGGTGAGGATTTAAAAAAATTGTGTGTAGTGTATACTGGTAATGTTTTAAAGTTAATGATTGAACTATACCATAACAAAGCATCATGCATCCTCATTAATATGTCTTAGCTACAAAGCCTAAGTCTTGTTTTTTCGAAAGAGTGTCATTTTGGTATATGTATAAAAATTCTAAATTGTCCTCCATGTTGACATTTTTGTTCTATAGCAATTTAATCATTCATTTGAAAGAGGCTTAATTGAGTGAATTTCATCACAATGCTGTATACTTTTTAGGCAAAAATTCCTTCAGCCAGAAGCTTAGACGATATCGCGATGGATTTGACGGAGACGGGAACCCCGAGGACCTCCAAACTGGTCACTCTGGAGGCCAAAAGCCAGTTCATTATGGCCAGCAATGGCAGCTTAATCTCCTCAGGTATCTGCTGGGGTTAGAGAGCGTGCAGGCAATCTTTAGTTTATTTCACTTTTGTTGTTGTTGTTGTTGTAAACCACTTTTAAATGCATCTTCTAACCCATTATTTTGGGAACAAATAAGCATATCAAAATTACAGTATGCAGAAGTTTTATTTTTAATAAAAAATTTAAACCGGTAGCCTTTGTGTTGCCCATTCACTTTTGGAAACGAGTGAATGTGGTGTCAAAAAAGGCATAAACTACACACTTTGCAGCCCTATCCTGCCCTTGAATTTGATGTCTTTGGTGGAAGAGCTATGTAAGTAGCAGTTTAAAAAAATTTTTTTAAACTAGTTTCAGAAAATATAAAATTAAATTATAGTCAGGTTGCATAACTAACACCAGTTGCAGAGACACTGAGTGCCTAGGGGCAGCTTGAAAGGATATTTTCTCCCGATAAATTCCATCAGCTTCTTATTCCTCCCAAGAAATCCTGGAACCTTTTATCACTAAGTATTCACTAAAATGCATCTTCCCACTAAAATCTCACTGTCAACTTGTGCATCTGAAGCACAGAATATTCCTTTGCCTCGCTCGCTTGCTTTCTAAAAGAGCATTCTAAGTCACTGACTCAAGGAACATCTCACCGGCTCGGAAAAGTTATAATACTTTTGTTGTTGGGTGTGGCTGAGACATTAAGCATTTTATTACTGCTCCGGAAATGACTGAGCCAAAACGGGGAAAGGCACCTTTCCCTGCCAGACTCCGATGGATGCCCAGGAGCATGAGAAATGTTCTCCAGTTTCCTTTTATTATGTTCACCAACAGGGAGAAAAGAAATAAACTATCTAATAGCAGGTTTGGCTTAAAAATCCTTTGTCCTTTACAAAGGAAGGAAACATCACTTGGATAAACCTTCCCATCCCCCGCTTCCAATTCCCCCAGGTTCTCAAGACTCGGAAGTTAGTGAGGAGCAGAAGAGAGAGAAGATCCTGGAACTGAAGAAGAAGGAAAAGCTGCTGCAAGAAAAGCTCCTGAAGAAAGTCGAGGAGCTGAAGAAGATCTGTCTGCGGGAGGCTGTGAGTCCTTCTGTTCGGGGGGCTGCTCAGGTGGTATTTGCCGGCTCTGGCCGTGCCCATCGTCCTGTCGGCTCTGTTCTCTTCCGCAGGAGCTCACGGGCAAAATGCCAAAGGAGTACCCGCTGGGCATCGGTGAGAAGCCTCCTCAGGTCCGAAGGCGTGTGGGCACCGCGTTCAAATTAGATGACAACTTGCTCCCCAGTGAAGAGGTATGAGCCCCGGCCCCCGCCATCCCCCCGAGATTCTTTGAACAGACAGAGCATCTGTCTGCTGAGTGCGGTCCGCTCAGCCTTGGGTTTCAGGTCACTGCTGTGCGTTTTTATCTCACCAGTTGACAGTGACAATATAGACCAAATTGAGTTCCTTCTTTTAGGCACAGCTCGATTAAAATTGTTATTACTCCTCCAAACACAGAGCGCCCTCATCAGACCCCGAATGTTCACAAACTGAGAAACATAAGAATTAAGAACGCTGACGTTAGACTCTCCACTTAAAACCAAGCAGCGGCCTTTGGCAGACACTTTTCCCTCCTTGAAGTCTTAATTCTCAGGTCTCGGTTTTCTCATCTACAAAATGGGGGAGCAGTGATTGCTTTCCTCCAGGGGAAGCAAGGAGGATTCAGTGAGGTGGCATGTGTCCAGCACACAGCTTAGCACAGTCCACAGACTTGTCAGCCACATGGAATGTGCTTTCTCATCGCATGTTTTCATGTGGCCTCACTCCTGTTTCTTATAGACATCTACCCATCTTGACTTTAGAAAATGATAGCAGTTTCTATCAATTATAGAGTGAGCTTTGCTGTGTATTGAGTGCTCACTGTATACCCAGCTCTGCACAAGGAATGCAAATATACTTGTGTGAGGTAGATGTTCCTTTCATTTTACAATAAAAAGAAACTGAATCATTAAAAAATTAAGCAGTGTGCCTGGCGTCATACAGTCAGGAGCCACCAGAGAAAGGAATCAAACCCAAATTTACGTCTGTAAAGCTGTGCCTGTGAAAACAACATTCTGCATCTCTGACTCTTGGGTTAAGAGTCTCTTCTTGAAAAATATAACCTTGCCAAAACCGGTTTGGCTCAATGGATAGAGCGTCGGCTTGGGGACTGAAGGGGCCCGGGTTCGATTCCGGTCAAGGGCATGTACCTTGGTTGCAGGCACATCCCCAGGGGGTGTGCAAGAGGCGACTGATCGATGACTCTCTCTCATCGATGTTTCTAGCTTTCTATCTCTCTCCCTTCTTCTCTGTACAAAATCAATAAAATATATTAATATATATATATATATATATATATATATATATATATATATATATAGCCTTTACCACCAACTGAATGAATGAAAGGCCGTTCCCTCCTTTGGGAGGGAAAAAGGGTGAGAAGTCGATGTAAATGGATGAGGAAGGATTGAGGCCGCCTGTACAGTAAATGGGGGGATTTTAGGCCCAGAGAGCATCTGGTTGGAGAATGCACGAGAAGTCTGACTCAGTGCCAGACGTGTGAGAGTGAGCGAGTGTCCACAGAAATAAAACAGCATCGTTGTGTAAATGCAGGACCCTGCTTTGCAAGAGCTGGAGAGCAACTTCCTAATTCAGCAGAAGCTGGTGGAAGCTGCAAAGAAGCTTGCCAATGAGCCAGACCTGTGTAAAACCGTGAAGAAAAAACGAAAGCAAGATTACACAGATGCAGTGAGAAAGCTCCAGGAGATTGAAAACGCAATAAATGAATACCGCATCAGGTGTGGGAAGAAGCCTACCCAGAAAGGGACAGGTACCTTACCAGGTGAGTAGTAACAAGTCAAGTTTTTCTGTCCCATCGCCTCTTGATGACATGTAGCATTCCAAATCAGTTCATTGTGAGAGAAAAGAAAAAACAGGAATAAAAGTAACTTTGCTGGGATAGAAATGGTTTGGAATTCCAGTCTTACAAGTATGTAAACCTGGTTTTCAGTGACATTCTCACTGTTGTAATAACACTATATTATTATGTTGCTTTCATTTTCGGGATGAAAGAGCTTTCACTACAATATTAGTTCGTAGTAAGACAGATTCACCTTTAACTGAGCTGATGGCATTGCAAGAAACACATTTGACAGCTCAGAGGAGTAAGAGAGCTGGGTCTAGCCAGTAGTTTCCCGAAGGTTTTAAGGCCGCAGACCGTACAGTTTTTTAAGGACCTATCCAACTTATGTGGCTAGGAAAGAGTTCTCACAATTACTGTCATTATGGAGGCTACTTGAAGATATGGGTAAATGTTCATACTATAACAGGAAGTGCAGAAAGGCAAGCACAAAATTGTCACTGCAGCATACTCCCAATATTACATAATTACCAGAGACCCAGTGCACGAATTCGTACACAGGTGGTCTCTGGCTGGCCCAGCCCCAATTGGCTGATCAGGGCCAGGCCTGTCAGGAGGAGGGGTCGTGGGAGGTTGGCTGGCCACAGTGGGCATCATAGCAACTGGTTATTATGGTGTTCCAGTCACTGGCTTTTTATATATATAGACTAGAGGCCCAGTGCATGAAATTCATGCATGGGGGTTGTCCCTCAGCCTAGCCTGCACCCTCTCTAATCTGGGACCCCTCAGGGCATGTCCGACTGCCAGTTTAGGCCCAATCCCTGTGGGCCTAAACTGACAGTCAGACATCTCTCTCACAATCCGGGACCTCTGGCTTCTAACCGCTTGCCTGCCTGTCTGCCTGATCGCCCCCTAACCACTCCCCTGCTGGGCTGATTGATGCCCAATTGCTCTCCTGCTGATCCTATCGCCCCCAACTGCCCTCCTCTGCCAGCCTGCTCACCCTCCCTTGCCCTCCCCTGCTGTGACCCACCTCCTCCACACAAGACGGTGGAGACGCCAGTACTGGTCTCCTCCGTGCTACACAGAGCCACAGGACCCCCGGGCCTCACCATGCAGAGTGACTGCCAGGCCCTGCCTCCACTGTGCACGTGGCCATCTTGTGTCAGCCATCGTGACAACGTCGTGCACTTGGGTGCAAGGACCACCTTGGCTTTTATTAGTAGAGATGTTCACACAAAGACTTGCTGTGAAATATTTTAAAATACCAATGGTTGTGGAATTTTAAGTAACTTAATTTTCTTTTTAGCACTCTTCTGTATTTTCAAAATTCTCAACATTATATATCTAAAACTTTCATGTTCAGAAAAAACAGGAAATTGAAAAATCTCATTTAGGTAGATCTCAAGTCAAGTCAGCCCTACATGTTTATTAGCATGGTTTTTAGCCTTGATCCTTGGTTGAAACTTGATTATATTTCTTTGATTCCAAGAATTGTTTTTCACATTTAATCATCTGTGAAATTGGGATAATTCTTATCCTAGACAGTATGACAGTTATGATCAATAGTAACTTTTTCTTATTTTAATGGGACATAAAATAATTATACAGCTTAGATTTGACAAAATATGGTCACTAGGTTAAAAGAGTTCTCAGGCTGCCCTGACTGGTTTGGCTCAGTGGATAGAGCGTCAGCCTGTGGACTGATGGGTTCCAGGTTCAATTCCAATCAAGGACATGTTCCTTGGTTGCGGGCACATCCCTAGTAGGAGGCGTGCAGGAGGCAGCTGATCAATGTTTCTCTCTCATCGATGTTTTCAGCTCTTTCCCTCTCCCTTCCTCTCTGTAAAAAATCAATAAAGTATATTTAAAAAGAGAGGGTCCTCGGGCTTAGGGCCAGTCGTTTGGGAACGTGAAGGCACAGCCGTCAGCACCACGTGTCAGCGGCTCCAGCTGGAGAATGAGGTGGCTGTGCTGCACACCAGCTGGCCCTGGGGGTGGGGGTGGGGGTGTTCCATGCTCACAGAGAAGGCTGCTCCCTGCACTTGACTCTCGGTGCCATTTGCTGTGGCCGCTCCTCGCAGGTCGTGCAGGATTCAAGTGTTCTCAGCAGCACCTGACGCTTGGCCAGCAGCTGGTGCCAGTGGTTGAGCACTGACACTGGGCAGATTCTTTACATGTGTCTGACAGCTGCCTCTGCTGGCTCCTTGCCTCCTGGCTTTACTATGTGTCCAATTAAGAGAGAGCCCTCCTGGCTCTGAGAGAGATTAACATTTGAGATTGGATGGGGAGGCTCTCTGCATAAGGCTTTGGGTGTCGCGTTTGCCTGTAATCTTACCAGAGCCTGACACTGAGCAGGAGTGGCTTGCCAACGCAGACCAAGTCCTCTGAGGCACCTCTTTTTGCTCATCCATTTAATATTAGCACTGATGGGCACCACTCACACTGAGAGCATAGGGCGTGTCCAACCCCCAGAGTTCTCTCCCCAGGACGCTGCCTCGGGGGCAGCCGCAGGGGTAAGTGCTGCTAGGGTGGTGAGCGTTCGCCCTGTGCCCAGGGCTGGGCTCCAGGCTTTCCATCCATCATTCCATTTAATGTGCACTAGGCGCTGTTCTCATCCCATTTCTAAATTGAGCCAAATATCACTCAGAGAGATTAATTACCAAGATTTGAACCCAGGTCTGCCTAACTCAGCGATTCTCAACCAGGGACAGTGCTGGCCCCCAGGGAACATTTGGCAATATCCGGAACAATTTTTTTGATTGTCAACACTGAGGGTGGGTGCCGTGGGTGCCCAGTGGGTGGAGACTGGAGATCCTGAAGCCAAGGACAAACTCCCCAACAAGAATTCCCCGGCCTAACGGAGCAGCGGTGCCCCGCTCAGAGAGACGCTGGCCTGCTTGAAAAGCAAAGGCACCACCAGGAGTCCAGCTCGATTAAGAAAAGGCCCCGTTCTTCGGGAGAGGGTCTAAAAAGAGGTTAAACTAACAGCATGTTCTCAAATCAGCGTTCAGCTGTATGTTCCATAGCATTTAGCATCTATGACACGAATGGCATGGTTCTCCTTTCCGGTGTGTGGGCTGCAAACATTCCGTGTGAAGGGTAAAATTCTCATCCGTGTAGAAGCTGGATGACAACTAGTTGAAAAACAAAATTCCCTTGAAGTCTGTTTCATTTTAAGAAATAATCCAAGTAATAGTTAAGCAGCGTGTGAGGTGTTCACATCTTCAGTGGTAAATGGGTAACTGTTCTTAACGCACTGCGTTATATTTGCCTACCTGAGTGCACTCCTTAGGAACTGCTTTACTAAATTAAGCTCCCGGTCAGTGTGTAAATGTGCAGTCACACTAACGGCGGTCATTGTTATCCACAGAAGACATAATCCCCTCAGAAAGCAGCTCCTTGTCTGACACTACCACCGGAGATGATCGTAAGTAGCTCCCCTTTGTTTAAAATACTAGCTATTCTGAAATCAGAAGATAACTTTTTAGTTAACAGAAGCCTGCCTATTACTCTTCAGAGAGCAGCAGAGTGAGCTCACTGCGTGTGTGCAGGAGGTCTGAGGGGGGTTACAATGACCTTCTGCACAGGTTGGCATCACGTCGCAGGACAGCCAGTCACGTGGCTTTGGCCACCACATACCTGAGGAAGCCAGGCTCTCCCTGAGGGCGTGTGAGGCTCTGCAGGCTCTTCTTTAACTTCTTGCTGAAGTAACTGTGCGTCCACATAAGTAATATGGAGACCTTCACCTAGCTTTTCCCACTGTGACAGTTATGCATTTGGAGTCCAATCAACCAGGGAATTTCAGTGTAGACCATGGTCATCACTGTTCTGGATAACTGGGCGTCGGTTACTTTCCTGAGGAAGAAATACACATATTGGAAATTGGGCCACACGTCCCTGTATCGGTCTCATAGAAGCAGAGACATCTTTGTGTGTTGGGTTGTGTCACAGCTCAATGTTGTGTTTTCTGATGGGATGAGCTTCATGTCAGGTGGCACCGTGTTTCTTGTAACCCCTTGCGCTTCAGCAGAGGACAGCACACTACCTGATGGGATTTAAGCAATTTGGGGGAGCCCTTGCCCCCACTGCCTTACCTCCCCCAGGTTTATGGTGTGTGAAGTAGTGCCATTCCAAAATCTTTCTTTGAGCTGAGCCTTGGTCAGACTTGCCATTCCTCTTTCAAATACAGAGCTTAGTAGGAGACCAGGCTCCCGTCTCTCAGCATAGACCAGTCGCATCACCTCCAATGACAGGACGTGCCTTCAGCAGCCAAAGAGGCTCAAGAGCTTCAAAGGGAGAGTTGAACAACCTCCCCTTGGCCCTTTGCAAATGGGAGTTGTCTGTGATATAACCTTCGAAAGCCTGTAGTATCACCATTCCACCTAAGTCCTTATTGAATTGGCAATGTTGAATCAGGCCCCGCAGAGTGTTCAGTCATTTCTTCTCTGCCGTGTATAAAATATAAAAATAAATTTCCTGGAAGTCATGTGCTTCTGAAATCATCACCATAGGAGGAACACTTTGCTCACCAGACCTTCTCATTTCTTTCCTGGGCTGTTGGCACAGTATTTGTTCACTTATTTGCTTCCCTGCTTATTCATCCATTCATTTACTTCTTACAGTCAATGACACCTTCACCCTTGCTGGACAGCGGTCAAGTTCAGTGCCTCATTCTCCAAGAATTCTCCCCCCCAAGTCTCTGGGTATTGAGCGAATCCACTTCAGAAAGTCGTCCATCGGTGACCAGCTGGTGGATGCCAGGCAGGCCAGGTGAGCGCCACGCCAGCAGGAGGGCAGATGCTCGAGGCCAGAGGATCTTTTCTCCAAAATGGCCTGCCCACTTTGTCTCATCCTCCTCGTTCTTTCCGAAGAGTTATTTTTAAGGCCGAAACATAGAAACTAGCCCAGTGATTTGTGGTGACACAAGTAGAAGAGTGCTTTTAGAAAAGGTTTGACTATTTCTTATATTTAAAGGTTTATATTAAATTTTAAGGGCATTAATTATAATCTGGATTTGGGTAAAGTTCAGTTTTATAACCATGCTGTCAGGAAATTGTCATTAAATATCATTATACCCAACCAAGAAATGAGACTGACATGATCTTACAAATGAAAACGGGACTTCAATTCGTTAGAATCTATAAAATAGATAATACAAATTTCTTCTCAAGTGTCTCAGGTAAAAATCATCAGAGTAATAACACCAGATTTTAAAAAGATGACAGGCCAGTGATTCCCAAAATTTGGCTACATGGATTAATACTAATTTTTAAATAGGACCCAAGATAGGATGCCAACTGTTTGCTTTGCCTAATCAGAATGTTCAGACAACCCCATGATTTCAGGGAAGAAAGACACATAAATGTCAAAAATATATATCCTCCACCATCACCACCACCATCATCATCATCATCACAACAGTAATGAGATGAAGTTAACATTTATTGAGGACTTACTATATGCTGTTCAGACACTGTTCAGAGTGCTTTCATGTATGTTAATGAGTGTAATCCTCATGGCAATCCTGACAGTACTGCTGCTAGCACTGCAAATTACAGAGGAGTGCCCCTCGGACCAGGACGCGTGAATAACTTGTTGGGTTCGTCGCCCAGTAGGTGTCAGAATTAGGATTTAACCGAAGCCGCTGCTCTGAAGCCTGCGATGTGACTTTAATCAGTACGCTAAAACTCATCTCAGGGAAGATGGAAACAAGTCTTCAAATAAAGAGATTATTTGGATTAAATAATTTTTTACTCATGGAAGTAAAACCAGTACAAGGTTATGTTTCTGAACTGTCAAAGTTCCGTGAAAACCTTTGCCACATATGAGTCCCCGTTTGTGGATTGGCATTTAAAAACGTGCCTTCCACAGTAGAGATCCAAGTGTCTGGAGCTCTGCTAGCCAACATAATTAAGAGTAAATAAAATTTAAAATTCAGTTCCTCGGTTACACCAGCCCTGTCCAGGGCTAGCAGCCCTGTGCGGCTGTGGTGTAGGAGAGGACAGCACAGATAGCACATTCCCTTCGCTGAAGAGAATCCTCTGGACCGGCATTGCTCACGTCGGGGCAAACAAAGCTATTTCAGCATAAGGAAGAACTATCACTAACAATCATTATCTTAAAAATTATGCTCACATCCCCAGGAGCTTAAAATGAGTTTGCTCTTTGACCCACTTACTGGAATTTTTCCTGTAAATAGAGGGTGCTCATTGCAGCGTTGTTTATGTGGTTCTGAATTCTTCCCGCCACAGAGAAATGCTGTCGACACACAGCAGTCCTTACAAGACTCCGGAGAGGCGGCCCCCGGGCGGGCGGAGCATGCCCAGCACCCCGGTCCTCACACGCAATGCCTACAGCAGCAGCCACTTAGAGTAAGAGCGCCCCCTCCGGCCTTGTGGGCTCTGTTACGCTTTGCTTTACGATTTTTTTTTTCTTTGTTGTGTTTTGTAATCAGTAAGGGACTTTGGGCAGCAGGTCTCTATTGGGTGGATCTACATTTCTACTCGCAGTTTCACATTTGTCGACAAAGAACATGTGTCATGTTCAAGGCAATATTGTAATGTGTTGCACCTTCACCTTTCCCACCAGATATTGCCATTTGCTGTGCACTGGTGAGGATGGAGAGAGTGACAGCAGCCGCATTTTGAAGTGTCCGCTGAAGGCTGCGCTAACTCTTTTGCATGCGCTGCATTATTTAGTCCCCGCAGCGAGCCTGATTGTAGACACCGGGCACTGCTTCTGACCTCCTTCTGCAGGGGAGGGCGTGAGGGTCAGAGGGTGGGACACAGGCCATGCTTGCCCAGCCGGGGAGGGGCAGAGCCCGACGCCCAGGCCCTGAGCCTGTGTGGCCCGTCGTGTGGAGGATGGCCTGCCAGAGGTTTAGCTCTGATGCAGGCTTGTGTCCTCAGTTTATCTTCCTGCTTCTCAAGACAGGCTGTGGCTGACAGGCTTGACAGAATCCGGCTCTTGTCTCATTGTGACCATGGCCGTGAACTGCAGGTGCACGGTTGGAAACCATGCGAGCCCTGCAGTGTGTAGCTCTGAAATCCTCCCCGTGGCGCTCTTCCCTGGGCGCAGCCCAGCCCTCCTCTGTCTGACCAGCGTCCTGTCCCCCCAGGCCCGCCTCCGCCCCTCACTGCCGCCAGCGCAGCGGCAGCCTGGAGTCCCAGTCGCACCTGCTGTCGGAGCTGGACCACGACGGGCCCTTCTTCTCGCTCTGCAAGGCCCAGCGCAGCAGCAGCACCGAGGTGCTGGACGACGGCTCCTCCTGCACCAGCCAGTCCAGCGCCGAGTGCTACTGCGCGCCCGGCCCCCGCCCCGGCGCCCACACCCTGGACGCCCGCGCCCGCGGCCGGCGCCGGTCCCGGAGGCAGAGCGCCGCGCCGTCCAGCTCGGGCAGCATGCCCAACCTGGCGCCCAGGGACGGCCTGCGCGACGGCGTCCGCGGCCCGGGCCCCGAGCAGCCCTCCTACTACATCGCCGAGTGCGACCTGTACTACGGCGGCGGCCACGTCTACGAGAACGACACGGAGGGCCAGTACAGCGTCAACCCTTCCTACCGCGCCTCCGCCCTCCACGGCCACGGCCGCCCGCGGGACTACGGCAGGGCCTTCCACGAGGACGAGGTGGACCGGGTGCCCCACAACCCCTACGCCACCCTGCGGCTGCCCCGCAGGGCGGGGGGCGCGGAGCGCGCCACCAAGCACATCCACAGGGCGCTGGTGGCCGAGCACCTGCGCGGCTGGTACCAGCGGGCCTCGGGCCAGAGGGAGCAGGGCCCCGGCCCGCAGGGCGGCGTGGACTCGGAGCGGGCGGCCCCGCGCTGCCTGGGGCTGGCAGGGCTGCAGGGGCCCTGCTCGCCCGGCAGCCGCGCGTCCTCCTACTCCTCAGGTGAGAGGGGGGCACGGCCCAGCGGGGGGATCAGGGGGGCTCAGGGTGGACCGTCGACCTCTGCACCAGGAGGTCACCGTTCGATTTCCGGTCAGAGCAGCCCGGGTTGCGGGCTCAATCCCCAGTGTGGGGTCTGCAGGAGGCAGCTGATCAGTGATTCTCTCTCATCGCTGATGTTTCTGTCTTCCTCTCCTCCATTCCTCTCTGAAATCCGTAAAAATGTATTTTTTTTTAAATAATAAAAAAGAATAGAGGAGGCACTTAATGGGGATTTAACTTGCCTCCTGTTCCCCGCCCACCCAGAACTACACCCCACGGGATCAGGAGACCAGCGCCGAGGTGAGCGGGGGAGGAGGGCGCGCACACAGGAAGAACGGTCATGGAAAGCGGTTCCCGCCAGCTTTCCTCCGTGGGTTGTTGGAGGAAGTTGTAGATTGAGCGCCCGGCATTAGGGCTTCACAGACTTCATCTCTCCTGGGCCTTGGAGTGGCGGTCACGTCTCCTAACTGTGTTCAGGTCGTTGAGGTTTGATATGTGAAAAGAACAGACTAAAGCCTCCGGGTGCGAGAGAGCAGTCCCGCCTCCTTCCCTGCCCTCCACCGGGAGTTTGACCGTGTGTGCGGCTGCGCTGGTCCCTGTGTGCGGCTTCCCATGATTGTGACAGAAGCTGGAGTTACCAAGCACTTTTCCTGACTCTGTTCGAAGAACTTCGCACGTCTTAATTCAGTAATCATATTTAGTCCGCTTTACGGCTGACGTAAGGGATTTCCAAAGACAGTCTTTGATGGGTGTTCCCCATCATTGACGTGAGCCCGGACTCTGCTGACATTTGTGGTGGACTCACGGCCTGACCCCGGCTGTGCCTCGGACTTCAGGTAGAGAAGCCGGTGGATACGAGGAGTGTCTGTCTGGTTTAACTCGGCGAACCCGCAGGCACGTCCCGGAGGCGGGAGCCGGCCAGAGCCCTCCTGGCCTTAGTGAGCCCACACCTGGGTTAGCAGCAGAGGAATATGTGACAATGGAGCATTTTAGAGCTTCTAAGAAATGAACGGATTTTTGAACAGCATGAACCCCTGAGGGCGTGAGCCTTGCCCCCTCCTTCAGGCATGACTAGTGAGGTGTGCACAGGGATTCCCATCCTGGAGCACTAGTCAGAGAAGCCTGCAGCTTACGAGTGTCCTCAGCTCGCTGCCCTGGCTGCTCTGGCTCCATGGATAGAGCAATGGCCTGTGGGCCGAGTCCTGGGTTTGATGCCGGTCAAGGGCATGCCCCTTGGTGCAGGAGGCAACTGATGGATGTGTTTTCTCTCTCATCCATGTTTCCCTCTGTCTTTTCCTCTTTCCTCCACTCTTCCTAAAAGTCAATGGAAAAATGTCCTTGGCTGAAGGTTAGAAGAAGTTTTATCAGCTTGTTGACAAAAGGCATCTCCATGGAGATTTCTGTTTGGGTTTGAGTTCTTTTATTTGCGCAGGACTTTGGACTTCCGCTAGTGCTTTCCCGTCTGTCACCACGTCTACCACGTGAAAAGGCTCCTGTAGTTGCTGCTTGTTGTTTATGGCTCTGATCTAGAAAACGCCCCTTTTCCCCAACGTTCAGGGCGTCATGAGAAACTCTCAGAAACCAAACCTGGGCACCGAGCTTCAAGGAAAAACCGAACGGCGGATGTGGGCGGTGGCAGGGCGCAGGCTGGGCAGTGCCTCCTGGACGGGGAGGCTGGCGAGGCTGGCGAGGCAGAGGGGACTCAGCATCGGCGTCACCCTACAGCTGGCTCTGCTCAGGAGCTGTGAGAAGGATTTGAACCCGGGGCGAGCCTTGCTGACCCCGCTGGACAGGCCCCACGGGCTACAGGCGCTGCCTCCTAAGGGATGAGAAATGGAATCAGTGCTCCCAGAATCCTTTTGGAATGTTCCTCATTCCTGCTTCAGTTTTACAGCTAACAGAGTGTATTACAACAGGCATGTGTCATTCTCATGCAGAGATAGGTCCCAATTTTTTGCCAATAGGGGGTTTTTGTTCCTTCTGGCCACCTCAGAGCTCTCGGTGGCTCGGTGTTAACGGTACTGGCAGCCTCCGTGTATGGTCATCCCACCCTGAGCATGCAGCGCGCTCACACTCTGTGTACACGACCCCACCTCATGGATTGGTTGTGTTATTTTTATCACCCTGACTGGACAGCCAAGGCATGTCCGGCTAAAGAGTGCCAATGGCCCTGCCCGGGCCCCAAGGCCTGTAAGTGGCGAGTGGGAGTTGGATCCCAGCGTGGACCTAACCACAGAGGCTGGTGAAACGTCCCCGGAGCTCCCAGCGAAAGTGTTACGTCCTCGGGTCAAATCCTGTGGCAACGGGGTTTGGAGGTGGTCTCACATGGGCCCAGTGCTGGTGGGTGAGAGAGAGGAGGAGGGTTGGCTGCCAGGGACAGAAATGAGGACAGCGGAGAGGACCCTGAGCAGCGCTGGTTGTCTGAGTCCCTGGGGACTAGCCGGGTGCCGTGGTCGCTGGGCACCTGGGTGTGGAGCAGGGCTGGCTTTAGGGAGGACGGCAAATGCCCAGAGGAGGGGCATTCGCTGGCCTTTGCTCCCCAGTTATGCCCTCGCTTGTCCAGGCCCGCCCCTCAGGAGGACGAGCCCATTCTTCCTGAATCCTTCCTATGCTAGTTCCCTCCCCCGCGTCCATCTTTTCCTAAAGGCCTGGATCCTCCTAGTGACCGGCTGCCCATGGCTGAGGAGCAGTAAGTCCCTGCTCACCTTGGGGACGCTCCGTCCGGGGGCAGAGGACCCCAGCTGCTCCTTACCCCGATGAAGACCAGTGAGAGTCCCGATAGAGCTGGCTCGTCTTTTGCTGTTTTTTAAAAATGGAATGTCTTTTCATGGACCTCATCCCCATTAATAACATTAATAGTTATCACTTACTAAGTGCTTCCTCTGTGCCAGGAGCAGTGCTGATGTTAATCCTGCTGTCCTTAATCCTGATGTTACCTGTTTGAGAGCCTATTTATGTTATTGTCCCCACTTTCCAGGTGAAGAATCTGAGCTGAATGAGGCTATTTGCCCGCAGTCATACGGCCACTAAGTGACCGAACTGGAATAGGGGCTTTGTGGTTTCCAGACATGGGTTCATAAGCTCTGCTTTGCACACAGCTGATGATAAAGTACATGTAAATGGCCTAACCAATCTTCACTTTAAACATCACCAGTAATTTTGTCTATTTTCCATTTTTATTTCTAGTGTCTTCTACGAACGTTTCTGGGAGCTGGCGGACCCAGATGACAGTCGGGCTTTCTGAGTACGAGGCCCCGGCACATCCTTCCTACACCGCCTGCTACAGTGGCTTCTACAGCCCTTTGCCCTCTCCAGGCAGGTGAGGAGGCAAAGCTCGGACACTCCAGTCACTGCTGAGGTCACAGGGAGCCAGGAACCCTGACTCATTTTATGACAGCTGAGTAATCTAGCCGCAGGGTGGCAAAGGATAGCCTCTGGTCAAAACCAGCTATCACCTGTCTTTATAAATAAAGTTTTATTGGAAAACAGCCATGCTCATTTGATTCATATCATGGATAGCTGTTTTTGCACCAGGAGGCCAGAGCTGAGTAGTTGCGACAGACCGTATGGCCAACAAAGCCCCAAATACCTGGCCCTTTAAGGGAAAGTTTGTTGACATCTAATCTAGCTCCTTCCAATGTGACCCTGTTCTTGGTTCCGTACGTTAAATTCTGTGTCCGAAGGCTTTGCTTTTAGTTGCAGTACTTGAAACTGTGCAGTTGATTTACGGATTTAGACTCTTCTGGAACCTTGCAGAAATATCTGCTGCAGGAAAACCTGTTCATCCAAGATTCCTCAGGAACAGGTGGCAGCTTCACTCCAAACACTTGCTGCCTTTTCGTGTCTGGCCCTGTGTTTATTAAGAACAACAGACACCGCCAGCTGTCCTATTCGTAAAAAATAATTCTCCGTAAACATTTAGAGGAAATATATAAGAACAGTTTGTCAAAATGTGGTTGCCAAAATGATTACAAATTCTGTATTACACCTTTTTCAGTTATTTGTGTTACAGAGAAGTCAAGTTTGCAGAGGTCATTTCTCCCTGTCAATTTCTCATAGAATATTATTCACACCCATGGAACCAAAAAGAACATTTTCTGGGACTTTTAGAAAATTCAGTGGTGCTTCAGGCATAGATTTACACAGACAATACTTATAAAGGGCTTTACACTAGTGAATTTGATACGTTAGTTTTTTTTAATCTTTATTGTTGAAAATATTACATAGGTCCTCCTTTTCCCCCATTAACCTCTTCTAGCCTGCTCCTGTTCCCCACCCCCACCCCACAGGCCTTCAACACCCCGTCGTTCTGTTCGTGTGCATGGATTATGCATGTATGCATACAAGTTCATTAGTTGATCTCTCCCCCACCCACTTCCCCCCACCTTCAAGAGGTCAGTTTCTCATTAAAGCTCTTAGTGTAATAAGCAAATGAACACATTCATCCCCAAAAGCCTTATTTTTCTTCTCCATATTCAACAGGAGTTTCTCTTGGCTTGAAATATTCGTCCAATTGTCTCAACTCAACAAAGGCTATGCTCAAAATAGAATTTTAATGAAAATATACTTCAGAGGATATGACATAGCTTGGATTTCTGTAAATAATGCTTGAGAATGAGTTAGGAGCAAGAACTAAAATGATTTTGGCCCAGAATTTGTGTTGATTTTTTTCAAGTCAGTTCTAATCATCTTGTATAAAAATGTGCAAATAGTTTTCACGTTTACATACTTTTTTAAGTTTTGTATTGATTGATTTTTAGACAGAGGAAAGGGAAGAGAGAGAGAGAGAGAGAGAAACATGGATTTGTTGTTCCACTTCTTTGTGCATTCATTGGTTTGTTCTTGTAGGTGCCCTGACCAGGGATCGAATCCACAATCTTGGAGTATTGAGACGATGTTCTAACCAACTGAGCCCTTGGCCAGGGCTATCTACTTTTGCTTTCTTCTTCTGTTGACCAGTTAGAAATGGTGTAAAACATTCCCTGTATAAGCAGTTCTGATAGTGTCCCTTACACAGCTCTCACTGGACTCAGGAAGTACTGAGTCTTCAGGGACCCCCTGCTTTTAGGGAGCCGCCATGTACTTCAGCGAGCTCGGTGGCTGCACAGGGCAGTCTGAGGTCCAAGGGGCACAATGGGCAGGAAATTAGGACTATTTAAAGATCCCCATTGTGTGTGTGCACATGCACTTAATATGAGCTCATTGTGGAAAATTGAGAAAATAATAAAGAGATAAATAAGTAGAAATAGTTTACCCATAATTCCACCATATAGAGATATAACAGCTATTAACATTTTGGCACATTTCCCCCATTTTTTTAACATGGTTGTACTGGTACCATATATACAATTTTACATCTTTAATCGTATATGAAATTCTACATTTCAATTATTCACTTAATATAACAAACACGTTTCCATATGTTTAAAAGTTTTTTAATTTTTATTTTATGTGACCAATATAATATTTCACTAACAAATACATCATACTTTATTTAAAAATTACCCATATTTTGAATTTGAATGGTCTTGGATTTTCTTTGCTTCTTATTTTAAGTAATGCTGCTATTAATATCTTTGTACAAAACATTTGTCCAGATTACTTCCCTAGGATTTATTCCAATTAGTAGAATTAAAGGGTTAAATTGAAAAGTATAATTTTAAAACTCTTTCATTTCAGAAATATTTGCCAGTTTATCCTCCCAACCATGGATATGGGAGTGCTTATTTTCACTCATATGTCTAATTAGAATTTTTCTTTAATTATCATATAGCTTCCTCAGTTTAATAAGGCAAGTATAATATCAGCCATCCATAAAACTTTAGAAATTTTGCCCTAAAATTGCATGTTATTATTGATGAAAACATAATTTTTAAAACAAGAGAAACTGAGTTTCAAGGTAAAGATGAAAAACTTTAGATCTTCAGTTAAATATTTGAAATGCTTAGCAATAAATCAGTGATTAGATCAATATAAATGAAATGCATGTTATTTAAAGATCTTTTCCTGCAGGGTGTCCAGGTCTTAATACTACAGAAAGCTATACAGTTTTACAAAAATACATATATATTATATATATAATATATATATTGTGTGTGTGTGTGTGTGTATATATATATATATATATATATATATATAGTCAGTGCCGTAAACTTTCCACAATTAGAAAAGTTCTAGTCTCTTATTACGCCGGGTATACAGCATAGTCAAAGGTGGTTCTGCTGCTGCAAATTGTGTTTTTAAATAACTTTTCTTTCACTCCCCTTTTCCCATTTCCCTTCCTCTTCCCTGTTTCACTCTGCCTGTCACTAGGCAAAACCCAGGGCTTCTGTCCCAGAGAGCAGCTGTGTCTGCTGAAGTGAGAGCAGTGGTCAGTGCTCTCTTGCTAGGGGTAGCCAGCTGTAAGTACAGCCCTGTCTGCGTGTGCCTCTCGCATCACGGGCGTCCTGCTTGCTCTGGCTGACGTGTGGAGTTACGGAGACCTGACTTTGTTTCTTGATTATGTGAAACCACTAAAAGCCTGGATTCGCATCGTACTTATAGCCACAGCTCTTTCTCCAAAGGCTTTTTATTTCCCTTAGTAAAAGGCGTTGAGATTTCAGATAAAAGGAAACCTACTAACTATCTTACCTCTTCTAACCTGCTACTACAGAATGAGTTCTGCTTATTGGAATGGTTTGTGTAATAGGATGCTCTCATGTGGATATATCATCCAAAAATGCCTATAATTTATATATATGATGATGTTTCCAATTTACACTTGACCCATAAACCCTAGGGATCTAAAATATGTCCCAAGATGCTGCTGCCTCCCTCTAAATATATTCCTTTATCTCCGAGGAAAGCATCTGGTGTAACCCTTAATTGGAATAATACTTAAAATGTGGCTGTCAAAAATACCTTTTAAAAAGGTTGAAATATGACTCTCACATAAGTGGAAAATGGACATGTGTCAAAGATGTAACTCATTGCTGAGAGAACTGGCATAACGGTAAGGCTGGTTCCAAGAGAATGCAAGAGACTACTCAGCACACTGAGAGAGAAATCACCAGGCACAGACCGGTGGGCGGTCCACAGGGGTACAACCATCACCGTACTCTCTCCCACTAGACGGAGTCATTTCCATTTCCTCCAGGCAAGGAACTGTCAGTTGCCGTCGAATTTAGCACAGTCTGGGTCCCCGGGGGTGGTCAGTGTGAGTGAGACAAACGTGTGCTTGTAGACTAACACCCCACGTGGACGGCAGGAGACAGCCATCCTCCGTATTTCCAAGCTGTGGACACTTCTCTTAGCACTAACTGCGCTGAGTGGTGTGCGTGTCCTGTGGGAGCACAGCTGCCTGTGGTGACTGTCTGGTTTCCCCCGCAGGCAGTACGCAGAGGCCGGCGCCCTGGACGGCGCGGCCGCGGGCGGCCTGGAGGCGGCCGAGCAGGGGCTCCTCTGGCACGAAGACTCCAAGCCCGGGACCTTAGTCTGAGCGGAGCCACCCTGCCGCGACCTCACACTGTGTGCCTTGGCAAAGCGTGCGTCTTCCCGGGGGCTGTTTGGCATCAGAGGATGCAGAGAGGACTCCCCTCGACCCGACGTGAACCCCACCCTCCGCCGCACAAGGCCCCGCGGACACCTGCCCTTCCACATCCCAGCCTCCCCGCGGATCGCAGGGCCACCGCCTTCCGTGGCCCCAGGCAGCTCGGCCTTCCCCACCAGCGCAGGCGGTGAGGGAAGAGAAGCTGCTGGAGGCAAACCCAAACTGTGAGAAGCTGCCAGGATCCCCCAGGGCAGCAGAGGGGGGCTTGCAGAGCACAGTTCCCAGTGAATGGCCGGGCCTCGGCCAGGCTGCCTGGAAGCAGCTGAGAGCTGCAGGGAGGACGCTGCCCAGGAACAATGGACAGTATTGGAGAATTACTTGAAGAGGAGCTGCGTTTTCATGAAGTTCTGAGCGAGTGCACACGTGTTTTGGATTGATAGAGTGACGGTCTTCACAAGCACCACACGGTGGGTCCACACAGACTTCCGTGTGGCACCCTGCAGTGACCCCCGGGCCGGGCCGGCAGCCCCGGGAGCTGGCCCCCTGCTGGGGGGCACCCAGGTCCCAGCCCCCCCCCTTTCCTCCCTGCACCAGTGACATGAGGAGCTGTTATTCAGGCTGTTCACGCTCCAACGTGGCTGCCATTTGAAATGGCAGGCTTGATATGGAAAGTTCATAATCAAGCATTTGAAAAAGTATTTTGAGGTGATAACGGAAAGAACCCAAAACAAAATAAAGGGGGGAAAAAAGCACATCATTTTAGATGAATTGTGTGCCTTAACATGGTGACTTGCTAGAAGAGTGAGCTATTGCCTGAATTCCGCAGGCGTTCTAAGTCACCGAGTGACACAAACCAGATTAGTCGTTAACAGTACAGGAACTCCAAGCTGCAGTAGATGTAACTATGAGGCTAAAACTACCTCATACTTTCCGTGGAAGAACTAATTAGCTACGGTTGTGGTTGAGTTTTTTTAAACAGATATTTCCATATTCCAGACCTTTGTCTGCTTTACTCTGCTTCAGAATTCCAGTCCAGGTGCTCCTTCCCCCTTTTATACAGGTTTCTTGTTCATATTGTGACTAGAGCGGTTTCTGAACATCTTTTTGGAACATTTTCTATCTATATTCCAAAGCATGTAGTATTTACATAAAGTGAATTTGTTAAAACTGGTCCTTAGTCATTTGTATCATTAAAAATGAAGTTTGGGGGGGAGGGGAGTTGGAACAAAAAAAGACATGCAAAAAATAACATTCCTTTTGCATTTGTATAGCCTTCTAGAAACAGAAATACCCTTTGCATATTCTTTTACTGTCTGACTTTTTAAGACCTATTATTTTTACATAGGTCAATAAACTGAAGTGTGCTACTGACAACGTTTCCGCATCCCTCCATTTAAGTTCACACAAGCAGTTTAAGGTGCTCTGCTTCAAGTAATCGTGTTGGACAAGATTGCAGATTGTCAGTGACATAAGTATTACCATGTTTTATTGATTTCAAGATGCAAGTGTTTTATATTCACATTCCTGAAAGCAAGGTGCCTCTTGATTGATGGCATGTTCTAGTTGAACTGGTAGTTTTTTCTTGCTTAGGATGCATAAAATACTGCTGTGTCTTACAAGAACTTGTTTTAGAATTGATGAAATACAGTAGGGTACTGCCTCACTGATGTGAATGCTTAGGCTTTCTAATCTTGAGGGTGTTTTCTTATAACTAGTAATTCATCCCAGTCTTGCTGACTAGCAAACAGGGCTTTAAGTCTCAAGAAAACATTTCACCTGACATTTTTTTGTCCTGCACGATAGAAAGAGGGAGTGGGAAATGAAATACAGGAAGATGTTAATATTTCCAAGCAAATGCCTTTCACAAAAATGACCTTTTCCTGTTCAAGACATGGTATACTCAGAATTGCCAGTGTACCTTGCAAGAACAAGTAGAACTTGGCTCCCAGATGGGAAAAGAATGGTGTGAAAATGGAAGCAGAGTGGGCCCACTATATGATGGCTTCCACTGCTGAAGGGCTTCATGTGTTATATTCATTTAATCCCCACAACAGCTCCATGACGAATATAGTGCTACTGGAGGCCCAGTGCACAACATTCCTGCACTGGTGGGGGGTCCCTTACCCCTCTCACAGTCTGGGACCCCTTGGGGTATGTCCACCTGCCAGCTTAGATCCAGTCCCCCTGGGGAGCAAGCCTAAGCTTGCAGGCGGACTTCCCATGAGGGTCTTTACCTGCTGTGGAGGCAGGAGAGACTCCCACCAACAGCACTGCACTCGCCAGCCATGAGCCTGGGAGCACACTGACCACCAGGGGGCAGCTCCTGCATTGCACGCCTGCCCCCTGATGGTCAGTGCCTATCATAGTGACTGGTCATTCCACCATTTGGTTGATTTGTATATTAGATTTATTATATAGGATTATCTCTATTCACAGATAAAGAATCTGAGAATTAGGCAGGTCAAGTAATCAGCCAAACATCATAGGGCTATTAGGGGAAAAGCAAAAAATAGGTCCTAACTCCAAATTCTAAACTACCTTGCTCCGTAACAATTTTTCTGCAGTAAGGGTAGCAAACGGTACTTTTAAAGTATATTAATGAAAATTTGAGCGAATACATGCCACGTTCAGCTTTTCTTGCTCATTACTCTAAAGATGATGGACCTATTTGCTCCCATTACAGAGGCCAAAAGGCCTCTGTCCAAACACAGGTCAAGATAACCCTTACTTAGGACACTGCCGAGTCTCGGGTGGCTGCCCACAAGGCCACATTACTCACTGCTACGTGGGCTCATCAGTGGACCAAGAACATCTAACTGTTTTCTCCCACCAATGGCCATATGTGCCTAGAGCACAGCAAGCCAGAGAGAACTGAGGATTGGTCAGTGGCACTGACACTGTCATGCAGCCCCATTTCTGATTGCTCAGGGCTGTGTGACAGCAGGAAGTCCCCGGGCCCTTCCCCGCGCCCTAAAGCGAGGAGAATTTAGCCAGTTTTAGAAACTAAAACAACAACAAAAAACCAACAGGACAGCTTACCCCGGGAGTGAAGAAAAACAGGGAATAGGAAAGAAGGGTGGGCGGTCTGTGAACTCTCAACTGTAGTCCCAACAATGGGGTGCGTGCTGCCACCTCACTTCATTTCATCCTCCCCACGAGGGCAGAGGTGGCCTAGTCTCAGAAAGAGCCTTGGGAGAGAGAATGAAAGGCTCCCCGACCTCAGTCACCTGGCCTTGCAGTGAGGTGTAAAGCTAACATCCCCGCCTATGGCCTATGCCCGCCTGACTCCAAACCTCGGGCTTTTTATTACCCATGACATTATCAAAAGCAATTGCTCACCAAGCACCTCTTGGAAACCAGGGAAAATGAAAAGGGAAGAAGCAAACAAAAGGGTTGGCCCGGGGAGGAAGGAAGAGGGCGGACCAAGGGCAGTGGGAAACCGGATTGGCCCGGTGAAAACAACCGGGACAGGCAGCCAGGGCAGCCTGCCGTCCGGTTTCTGGCTGAGCAGTTCGGCCTCTCTGCCCGGGCGTGGCTGGAAGGGCCATCGGATGAAGGGCCGGCCCGCAGTCGGCCGGCTGATACCTCTGCACGGAGGGCGGAGGAGGGGCAGAGGCATCTGTGGAACGCGCTCTCCAAGGCTGCGCCGAGGCCCAAGGGCAGGGCAGCTCCCCACCCTGCCCTGCCCCCGCCAACACCCTTTCCCAGAAAACCCTCTTCATGGGGTCCTCTCCTCCCGTTCAGAGGAAAATGGCTCCATGGAAAAGGAGATCAAATGGGAAGCCAGCGGGGGAAAGCTCTCATTAAGGACACGGACAGGCCCAGCCTGGGAAGGGCATTTGCCCTACAATTACCAGAAGGAGCCTTTGTGGGGCTGATGGGTGTCTGAGCCGTGGGCTTTGAAGTCAGGTCCACCTGGAGTCGGGCTGCCAAGTGGACCCCTCCCGCCACCCTGCTGTGGTCATACAGATTCGGACTCGGCACACTTCTTCACCTCCACCTCAGGGCTCAGTGTCCTCACCTCAGGGCCTCAATGTCCTCTCAGTGTACATCACACAGAGGTATTTGCTGGGCTAAACAAGAGAGTGCACACACACACACCTCAGCATCGAGTCCCCAGCACATACTCCATTTCTTTCGGTTTGCTGGAAAGAAAGCTGGTAAGGGACGCTGGATAGTGATGGAGGCCTAGAAAGCTGGGGTTCTGAGATCCCACTGCTGTAGTTTAGCCATTGAAACGGCAACACTATTGAAACAACTCGTCATTGTCAAGGGCTGATTATGTCCCAGGCCCTGTTGTGGGCACTTGGATTTGTTTTTGTTATTTAATCACTACAGCAACGTGGCGATCATTCCCAGAGGAGAGCTCAGGGAGGGGCAGCAGTTTGCTCAAGTTCCGTATCAGAAGGGCCCCAGGTCCGGAGTGCAGTTCACAGATCATAACGCAGAAGTCCCATGAAGTGTGAGTTTGGCCGCCCTGGGGCCCACTGTGGAGGGAGGCTGCACTGGGGTGTAACCCGAGGAGTCAGGCCAGCTGGGTGTGTTCCTGAGCGCTGGGCGAGGTGCACCCCCAGAGCCTGAGAGTGAGACCTCACTTGCTCCACCCTGAACTTGGCCCTAACCCTGGCCCAAAGACTGGTATCTGCCTTGTTGTGTGCCTAAAAGTGCAAGCCAGCCAGCCAGTAGGTGGCCAGATTTAGCAAATTAAAATTCAGAATGTCCAATTACATTTGTAAAATAGCTGAAATGTTAATTATTTTTTTAAATTTCTTTAAAGCTGAATACAGAACACTTAGGGCATCCTGAAAAAAAAATCGGTAAGCACACCAAACACGATCCATAACTTCAAAACCTGTCCTATAGACTCAGGATGCTGGGCAGCCCTACTGGCTAGACCTCTGTCCAGGGTCGCGTGGGGCATAGATGCTTGAGCGAGTCTTAGTCGCAGC